CAATGAAAGGTTTTTCAATATCAACTCAGGAGATCCGCAACCAAATTTAGCAATGCGGTAAAAAGGAGAAACGGGTGATGCCTGGAGTCTACATGTGTGACATAAAATCTATCTATGATTATCATCTGAGGGACTAAAATTACATGTTGACTCAGCGCTTGAACCAGAGGAAAAGTGAGGATTGCCGACTTTACGATTGCCAATATGCGAGCCAAAACTGCCCTAGGGTAGCAAATTTGACTCACCATGACAAATGTGATTTTGATGTCAGACGTGCAAGTGGTTTTAAATTTTTGCGAGTTTCCGGTTATTTTTAGCCCTGTAACGCCTAGTAACGTGATGCATGCAATGAACAAAAACAAATTACCTCATTGCTTACCTTATATGTAAATAGCAAAAAAGTCCTCCAAAACAAACTGGAATATGGTGCGAAAAACACAGTTTGTCAGCAAAAATTAATTTCCACGTTATAACCCAACTTTAATAATAAGAAACATTTCATTTATAACGTGGTAGATATGATCTGAAGGGACAAAAACACTCCCATATTTCTTCCAAGAGTCAGAACTACGCGTAGATGTCTTTTGCTCAAAAGGTTTGGGAAGTCAACTTGGCAAGAATTTCGGCTTAGATGCGTCTTTAAGACTAAACAACCTGAGTTCAATGATATGCAACTTATGTAGTGCATATTGTTGAGATTTTTCGAACGAATCTTGCACTCAATAAGAGGTGCATGCATAAAAGGGGGTAAGAGTAACCAGGATATACGTTCTATTACGGCGTTTTGCAAAATCAAGTTGGTTGCGCGTTCCATTGTCGATCTTAAATGTGGTATTTCATCCCTCCTTAATAACCTAGAAATATCATATTTCTGAACCTAGAGTAATACAAATGAGTTTTAAAAAGCATGCTGGTTGATCAGAATCTTGCAAGCCAAGCAACCTAATGAATAATTTAATAATGTGGCTATGCGCGGCATTAGTCTACTTCAACTCGTCAAGGGTCTGGATCGTTTGTTGACAGTTTGAGCCAATAAAATGCCTATGTATTCGTATAGAAGCAAATAACGATGATATCTTTGTGATACCGTAGATGTGACTGCGATGGCTTTTCTCGTTTATCTCTGCAAACATTGATGTGCATTGGCATGTATTCACATGGGTACTTTCCACTGAAGACATTTAAAGTAAGAGCAGTAAAGCTCGAGATAAATATGAAAAACGGACTTACATAGAATTTCATCATCCAAGTCGGGCGGAAGAAGACTTCCAAGACTGAGGTTGCTAAGGGCATCCTCCGAGCGATATGAAGCAATGCTGCAGTTGCGAGAGTAATTGCGACCCGATGGGGGTAGTGTGAGCAACTGCATACTTGGTCGGTCTCGAGGCAACGGCGACTCGGGTGATTCAGGGGATTCCGAGTTGCGTGTCATGATGGAAGGAATAGTAGCAGTCTTGTGCAAGAAATCCTCGACTTTTAGGGACATCTTCTCCAATATAGCCTTGCCCTAACCATGATCCCCTCGCATTCATATGTTTGTTCTTTCCCTTTCCTTCGTTTTGTCTGATTCTCTCGCTTTCTCTCTGGGAGGGCCTGTATTTGCGCACGTGCGCACGTGCACTGTACGCTCTCTTCCCATTGGTCCCTAGCCATTGGCCACCGGGGCCAATCTGATGGGCCTCAGTCCTGCTTAAAACCTTGGTGGTGACCTTTTGACGTTGGGAGCATACAATTATTCTATTCACCTGTATTGTCTGTGCAAGAAAGAACGGTCAAATAGACAAATGTAGAACTGCTGTGTCATTTGCACAGACTATACTGATTGAAACTCTAGGCCAGCATCGACTTAGGTGGATGCCTGCCAGGTGTTGGCATTATTACCGTCTAACTTTCGGTTGGAGTCAAAGAGTCAGTTCCCTACCGTGTCACCACTCCCTCCTCAGGACGTGACTAGGTCTGGTTTGTGTAATGATCGAGTGCAGGCGCAGTTTGTCACTTCAACACTGGCCATTACGAGCGAGATCCACAGCCATGATAACTAAAATAGTGCTGAAGGGAGACCGCTCTTGGAAGGTAGTGGGTGGGATGCCCGTCTATGCCACTGAATACCCCATACCCCACAATTCTCCATCAACCTTACTCATGAGAGGTCGAGCCTCACCTTCTTCCCATTCTTAGCATTCTTTTTTCAGCGGCACTTTTCTTAAGCTCTAAAGCGACCGTCGAATTTTCTCGCCTTTAAGCGTCAGACCATCACGTGAGCTGGGAGAGGATAGGAATGGAATTTTCTCGGCTTCCACCAGTAAAACGTTTAGTGGGAAAAGGAGAGTTAGACTCATGAAACTAGTTTAACATGTAGCAACAAAAACCTCATCAGACTGCCTGTCTAGTTGTCTCAGTGACCCAGTGA